GTCGATGTATAAACACTCCCTTGTAGCAGCAGGTTAAAAGATAGTTGGAGTAGCATCATTTACGCATGTTTTAAGAATGTTTTTTAATAAAACAAAAACAAAAATACCACTAATTGAAAAAAACTTTCTAGTCGTTATTATTGCGGTTTTTTCAAGTTTTTTAAAAAACAATAAAATTTAATGTACTTCCGCATTAATTCAATGCCTATATATATATATATATATATATATATATATATATATATATATATATATATATATATATATATATATATATATATATATATATATATATATATATATATATATATATATATATATATATATATATATATACATATATATATATATATATATATATATATATATATATATATATATATATATATATATATATATATATATATATATATATATATATATATATATATATATATATATATATATATATATATATATATATATATATATATATATATATATATATATATATATATATATATATATATATATATATATATGTATTATATATATATATATATATATATATATATATATATATATATATATATATATATATATATATATATATATATATATATATATATATATATATATATATATATATATATATATATATATATATATATATATATATATATATATATATATATATATATATATATATATATATATATATATATATATATATATATATATATATATATATATATATATATATTAGTGCTGGGCAACGAATAAATATTTTAATCGCGATTAATCGCATGATTTTTTGCGATTATTCGCGATTACTCGCAGAAATACGAAAAATTCAATAATAAAACCACAAGTAGTATATATATAGCGTAAATATATTTTTTTATAGTTAAATTAACATAACTTTTGGTTTTTAAAAACTTTAAACAATTTTATCCATTCTTCTAACTTCACTTACTCATCTGCACCAAGCCAGTTACTAAGACAAACATGGTAATTCATATTTTCTGATGATAAAGAAACTCTCTTCTTTTGTACAATATGACCAGCAAAGAGAAAACAATCTTTCACAAGGAACAGATAATGCAGGTGTTGCCAAGTACTTCTGTGCAATTGAGGCCAGTCTGTTGTGTGAGCCTGCATGTTTGGAACACCACTGTAATGGACAGGTCTCTGTACTGATGGTAGGCTCTGCTTTGTACCGACGCACACCATTTTCAATTGAGTCTTCCTCTTGTTCAGAATCAGACTCTGATGAAGCAACCAATAGAGCAAGTTTTCTCTTTGATAGCTTTGATGTTGCTGCTTCCACAGGTTCATCTGCAATAACCCTCTGTTCCTTGAGTAAGTTAGTGATTGAGACCCACACCTCACCTCTCTCAACTCTGGGTATACACTTGAGGTCTTTGAATCTCGGGTCCAATGCGGTTGCAATTTTTAGATATGCAATGTTGGCATTTTCCTTGCTTGTTTCCAGATCTATTCTGAACATAGATTTGAATTTGACTACATAGGCCGGGTCATCATCTGAGCTCTCCATCACCCGAGAGAGATGGCATAAAGCAGGCAGAACCACAGAGCATGAAACGTACTTTTCTCCACCCAGAAGTTCAGTCACATACCTGCAAAAAATAAAACCCATTTCACTCAAATGTTTTGCATTCACTTATACACACAAAAAGTGTTCTCATGTTCATGCTTACGCACAAATACAGACACATCAATTCTCTCACATGCAATCAAACCAGTCAGTAAGAAATATATGATGTAAAATATACCTGCTGGGTTCTAGGAGCTTTTCCAACCTCTGCAATTTGTCCATTTCAGCTGGAGTTGGCATAGCAACTTTTGTGTTGTGTGTGGTGAGGACATCGTTCAGTGGCTGTTTGTTTCTGCAAACACTTTTTATCATGTCCAGAGTCGAGTTCCATCTGGTTGGAATGTCTTGTATAAGCGACTCCTTCTTTTGTCCAAGCTCAATTTGTTTTTTTTCTAATTCTGCAGCACTTGCTGGACTGTGTTTAAAATAGCCCACCAACTTTCTGCATTTAGCCAGGGCATTGTCAAACGCGCTGTTGTGCAAAGATACTGTGACAGAACGCTGAAGACTGTGAGCGACACAAGGGATGCGTTCAAAACCCAGTTGTCTTGCAGCAGCGACAATATTTCTAGCACAATCTGTGCTAATTGTGCTGACTTTATTTAAAATGTCCCACTGCTGTGCAACATGAATGAAATGTTTTGCGCACGTTTCAGCAAAATGTCTTTCTTGTGTCTTCATTACTGTCAAAGCATGTGAATGCAGTTTCCATTGTTCATCAATGTAATGCGCAGTTACTCCGAGATAATTATGGTTACCCAGCAATGTCCAGTAGTCTCCGATGCGGGCAACAGTTTGTGCACGTTGTAATGCCGTTGCCTTTATAGTCCTCTCGTTTTCAATGTGCAGTCATTCGTTGCGATCCGAATAACATTCTTCAAACCGACTTCTTCCACAATACTAGTTGGCCTGCAATTTGTAGCTACCCACTTTGCAATGGCATTTGTTATCTTGTCTTTCCTTTGTTTCTCTGTAGTTCTCCCTCGTGCTGCATCTAACGTAGTCTGCCGAAGGTTTCCTCGACTGTTTGGGTGGATGATTTGTTAGCATCAACGGTGTGCATTGCATTTAAGTGATACTTCAAACTTGAAGTACTCCGATGATAAAAAAATTCCGCTTTGCAGTGTTTACAAATAGCTTTAGTTCTATCTACTCCTTGTTAAATAGGTTTAAAATAAAAGTGTCCGTTAAAAATTTCGGTACATTTTTCCATTTTTAAATATTTCTCAATTTACTTACTGCTTGTTGTTTGAGCATAAGCAATAACATAAATACGCACAAAAGTTTCAATTCTTTTATGACTCTATTATTATCGAATTATAAATAACTAAATTATAATTCGATTATTATATAATTTTAAAACAATACAAAATAAATAAACAAAACTATAAATAAACATAAAAATACAAAATGCAAAATAAATTTTTCAATATATTAATACTAATATAAATTAATATAATAATAATTATAAGCAATAATAAGCAAAAAATATAAAATGAGAAACAAAAACTTTGACAGACAGTTTCACAAAAGAAAAATAAAGTTAAGCTTGTAAATCTTAAAAAAAAAACGAGCGGCAGAAACTCATAATAAACTCATTGTAAAGATTAATAAGTGGAAAAAAAAATTTCATAAAAACTTAGCAAAAAAACATATTTTTTTACAATAATAACATCTGGAGATTAATTTTTTAATTTAAATTTAATAGTTCTGTAAACTAAAGATTGACAGGTCTGTTTTGATGAATTTTGTGCAGCCCTGTCACTTTTTAGTTTAATGAACTATTAAATTTAAATTAAAAAGTTTACTTTTCACTTTTTAGACTTTCAAAAAAAAAAGTACATTAACGCGCGATAAAACTATTGTCGGCGTTAATTAATTAATGCGTGTATATATATATATATATATATATATATATATATATATATATATATATATATATATATATATATGTATATATATATATATATATATATATATATATATATATATATATATATATATATATTTATAAATATATATATATATATATTTATAAATATATATATATATATATTTATAAATATATATATATATATATATATATATATATATATATATATATATATATATATATATATATATATATATATATATATATATATATATATATATATATATATATATATATATATATATATATATATATATATATATATATATATATATATATATATATATATATAATTATTTAAATATATAACATATGCAATTGTTTAAAAACTTTTTAAAGTTCTCCAAAATCCACAATTACATTTGTGATTACTGAAGAGGTTTTAATTGGTTAAAGATTTAGAAAAGATGTGTAACAATTTGCAAGGAACTTAAATCATCACATGATAAGTAACACATTTGGGAACCCATTTAATTTTGTAAATTGTCTTAAAGTAATAACTTTTTACAGTTTAATAAACAACATTTACTACATTTACTTTAATTAATTGACCTTAAAGACAATAGAGTTTCTTTTTATAATGAAATTATCCTGTTATACATTATTATGAAAATTGTTTTATAAATCATAAAAATTTATAATCAAAACAGTTTGCAATAAAATCTTGAGCACTATCTTGCAATTTTCTTTGATTTGCACCTACATTTTATATATATATACATATATATATATATATATATATATATATATATATATATATATATATATATATATATATATATATATATATATATATATATATATGTATATATATATATATATATATATATATATATATATATATATATATATATATATATATATATATATATATATATATATACATATATATATATATATATATACATATATATATATATATATATATATATATATATATATATATACATATATATATATATATATATATATATATATATATATATATATATATATATATATATATATATATATATATATATATATATATATATATATATATATATATATTTATATATATATATATATATATATATATTCAAATTTTCTTTAATGTTTTTTTATGTTTTTTATTTATGTATCAGAGGTAAAACTACATAAAACTTTAAAGGTTTTTTTTGATGTTGACACTTTACATAGCACTTTACAGTTTTCTATATACAAACATATGCAACTTTCGTGGCAATTATTTTAAAATATTCAAAAAATTACTAAAAAGCCATTTTAAGAATTGGCAGTCTTATATTATGACTTGATATATTTGACTTTTAAAGTGTTAATAATAAACTTTTCTCTAAAAAAATGGTTGCTGTTGACGTTATAGTTAATAGTGTAGTCGAAAGAGAATTTTATGGTAAAAAAAGTCTCTTTCGACTACAATTTTAATTACCTAGGCTTTTAAGCTGTTGTAGAGTAGAACAAATAACTTACAGGCACCGCATGAAAAGTCATACTAACTGCAAAACCACCAAATATATAGCCAAACAAAATAAATAAAGAGCCAAATGCTTCTAAATTTCCTAATATTACCGATGAATAGCCCAAAAGGTAAAGAACTGAGGTTGTAAGAAGAGTTGATTTTCTTCCAATCTTATTAATTAAAATCCCAGCAACGAAACATCCCAAAAATGCGGCAAGAAGAAAACCACTCTAAATGATTAAGTATAAAATTCATATAAGTATATATATAAATAATTGTATATATATATATATATATATATAAATAATTGTATATATATATATATATATATATATATATATATATATATATATATATATATATATATATATATATATATTTATATATATATATATATATATATATATATATATATATATATATATATATATATATATATATATATATATATATATATATATATATATATATATATATATATATATATATATATATATATATATATATATATATATATATTACAATATTCTACTGTAAATTTATAATTCAAAAGAATATATAATACATTGTTAAAAAAATCGTCAAAAACATTTTTTGTATTTTTAGTTTGAATATCCACAAAACTCTTTTTCTAACCTTTTTTAAGGGGTTAAAAACCTTTATTTTAACTTTGAATATTGATTGTAATTGTGTTTAACATGTTTTTAAAGATAATCTTACTACACGCGTTTTGAAGAGTTAATAAGAAGTAATAAAAAAAAAGATATCATTACGTCTCATTACACGGAAGTGAACGGACGTGTTTTTCCTGCGTAAAAAAAAAATAAAACTTTTTTATTTTTTTAAGTTAACTTGTTTTTTCTTTTGTCATCGTAATTATTTTTAATATCAAAATAAATAAAATTAAAGATTCCGAAATCTCAATACAGCTAGTAAAGGAAATTTTTCAGGAGATGTTTCAGAAACAACAAAAGGACATTTTGAAATTGCTAAGTGGAGACTTAAAAATTACTAATGAACGAATCGACGGATTACAAAAAGACATAACTTGGATTAAAGCCACTTGCGAATCCTTAAAAAAAAAAACGAAAAGAGAAAAGTCGACCAAGCAATGTCAAACAATCAGTTACTGAATTACGAAAAAGTTTTAAAGGACATTGAAGAAAATCTATTGTTTCATCAAGATAATCATGATAAAAAGGTTAGTGACATAGAGAAAAAACTTTGTTCAAAATCTAGTTTAGCAAGCGAAGACAAAGAAAAAATTCGACAACTGGAAGATCGGCAAAGAAGAAATAACTTAAGATATGAAGGAATTACTGAAAACGAGTCGGATAGTTGGGATGATTCGGAAATTAAAATAATGAGTATACTTGAAAATAATTTAAGTTTAAATGGAGTAAAAATAGATAGAGCACATTGGACAGGATTACAGAAAATAATAATACAGAATAAATACTGAAAAGTAATACAGAAATACAGAAATACAGAAATAAAAATACAGAATTAATATAATAATAATAAGCGTAATACAGAAAAGCCAAGAACTATCGTGATTAAGTTACATGACTATAAAGAGAAAGTAAAAATTCTGAAAAATGCAAACAAACATAAAGGTTCGGGAATATTTATAAACGAAGATTATTCGGTAGAAACAGCAATAATACTAAAATAATTATTCGAAGAAAGAAAACTAAACAGGAACAACGGTAGGTATTGTACTGTTATTTACGATTAATTAATTGTAAAGGATTTTAAGAAATCAATTTGAATAATCATATATTTTTTTTTTTATTAAAACTACTCTTATTTAAAATGGCTGACGAAACTGACAGATCCGATTTTTAGTTTAAAACATTTGAAAATAATAGTTCAACACTTTTACATCAATGTTCAGATCCTGATTTTAATTTTTATAATAATAATGAAGTAATTAAACATATTAACCCATTATATTATAACACAAACTCAAAAAATAAAACGGAAAGAATGGATGATAACTCATTTTCAATTCTCCATATTAATATTAGGAGTATTCAAAAAAACTTTGAATCATTAAAACAGTTTTTATATATAAAATCAAAGTTAGTTTTAACATTATTTGCCTTAGCGAAACATGGTGTCATGATAAAAATATTGAAAACGATTCAAATTTCCAAATACCTAATTACAATGTGGTTCGCCAACAGGGAGAATTAATGCGTTCAAAAACCACATTAAAAGTATAATTAAAAATAAATCAAGTTGTAATAAAAGTGTGTATTTTATTGGTGACATTAACATCAACATTTTTGACTATGACGTTAATAGGCACATTAACTAAGTATAGGGCAACATCAATAACTCAGTAACTAAGTATAGTGCAACATCAATAGATCAAATTTTTACAAATGAAAAAGTAAATATTAAATCTTCAAAAATAAAACAGAGATTATATTGTAAATGTCTTAAAAAAAAACACTACAAAATGAAGGAGCACATACGACTAATCCAAAATAAAATCTCGAAAAATATAGGCCTTTTATACAAAGCAAAACAGTTGTTGAACCAAACTTGTTTGAAACTCATTTACTTTTCTTTTATTCATTGCTATCTAAATTACGCTAACGTTGCTAAGTGTAGCACTAATGTATCTAAAAATAAAGTGCTTCTAATTAAACAAAAACACGCTGTAAGAGTTATTGGAAATGTGAATCGCTTTTTGCACACTAAATTACTTTTTAATTATTTCAAAATACTTAACGTATTTCAACTTAACCTATATCATTTTTTTATATTTATGTTCAAAGTAGATGATAAAATGGCACCCATTTTATTTAAATCATTTTTCGAAAAAGTAGATCATTTATACCCAACAAGATTTTCAAACAACAATTATATTCAACCAAAAAAATATTATTCTGCGACAAGGTTCTCGATAGCAATCAGAGGACCTAAATTATGGAACACCCTATTGGATAATGAGTTTAAAAAAATTTCTTTCCTTGATCAATTTAAAAAAAAATAAAAAGTAAACTTTTAATAATTGACAATGAACTTGACTTCTTCTGTAATTTTTAAATAGGAGTAATCTCTTGTTTTTAATTTATTTTTAACATATTAATTCTTGATTTTAATTTAAATCTTTACCTTCTTAAATTATCATGTTTTATCTCATTTTTATTTACTATTAAAATTTAAATCCTAATAAAAAATAAAAAAAAATAAAAATATATTAAATTTTAATGAAAAATATTGTGATATTTGTATTTACATATGTACCTTAAGCATTTATTATATTGTGATAACGGATTTTTTTGGTTGTTTTGGTTTTTTGTTTTGTTTGTTACTTATATTCTTGTTCCGAAGGCTTGGCGATAAGATTGAATTTGTCTTTTTCTTGCCCCAGCCGTGTATATACATTTTTTAAAGTCTAATTTTGTAAATATTTTTTTTATGGCAAAATATATATATTATATTATATTATAAAATTTGTTTTTTATTAGAAAAGGTTTGATATTGTCTAATATTAATTGAAATATGTATTTTTTTTAAGATTGGAGGTTTGAATTTATATCAGTAATTCAGTAATTCATTATTAGGTTTTTTTTTAATCCTATAAGAATTTTTCGAGAGGTAAAAACCCAGTAAGCACAAAGACGTTTAAAAGACGTTTAAAAGATGTCTTTAAGAAGGTCTAAAAGGCGCACTTGTAGACGTCTAGATCATAAGGCTAAAAGACGTCTAAATGAAGACGTCTTAATAAATACGCGTTTTAGACGTATTTTAGACGTTTTTTTTAAAATAAATTTAAGTACATGACGTAACATTTTCGCGTAGTATGTGGTATATATTCATTGTATTTATAAAATCATATATTGTTATAATTTCGTATATACAAAATATACATAGGAACCAGCAATCAAAATAATATTGCTGTAATCACCACGAACGGTTGATGCATCAAGGATGAAAATAATATATAACAATAACAATTATATATCAAAACAGTATTTATAACATTTATAACATTTATAACTTACCTTTAGTTATAATAAAATTTAACATACGTATTGCTAGCTAATTTTTCACCGGATACTTGACTTATTATATGGCTTGTGGGTGTATATAAACTAAAAATACTGATATTTAACTTATATATTATTCTTGCCATTTTCACTTATTATCATGATCATTCAACTATCTATTAAAAAAGCAAAATAATTATTAATAAAAAAAAGATATATTAATATTAAAGCAATTATTTTAGTGATTCCTGTGACAACAATTTTAGCAATTGTGTAAAAAAGTAATTTAATTTAAAGTAATTTACACTTAAAACATAAACAAATTATTGAAAATAATAAAAACTATGTTTTTACTTTGAATATACGACATCTACTTAACGCGTAATGACAAAGCCGTCAAAAAGAAGTCATAATGACATATTTATAAACAAGTCTCAGAAAAGACGTCTTTTAGCCTTGATCTAGACGTCTTTTAATGCGTATTTTAGACTATTTATTATGCGTCTTTTAAACGTCTTTTTTAACTTTAAAAAGACGCCTTTTAAACGTCATTTTAAAAAAGCATTCATAAAAGACGTCTGAAAGATGTCTTCAAAACGTCTATAAAAGTGCGTCCTTACCTAGACTAGTTTTAGACGTCTATAAGTGTCTAAAATGCGTCTTGTGCTTACTGGGAAGTGACATCAAGAAAATTCACAGATTTTGAACGTTTTTATTATACATTTTATGTGTTTGTCGATTTGGGACCTCGATTTTTTTTTTTTTTTGCATTATTATTAAACCATTATCACGATACAAACCTAATTGATTAAAATAAACTACTTTAACTGAGGAATTTAAATATATAACCCTTTAAATACGCAAGTTTCCGCTCCATCGTAACTTCCCATTGTTACTTCAAAGCATTCGCGCGTGTTTTTTTACTTCAACGCCTCGGTATTAAAATGCCTAAATTCATTTTCTTTAAAACGTCCTCTTGATTTTTTTTTTTTTTTCATAATTAGTTTTCTTTGATTTTTAGACATCCTTCCTAATGGACCTTAATAGAGAAACAAACTGTCAAAAAGTAAAAAGTAGATAAGTGTTTTTACTAAATCATATAAAAAAGTTTAAAGTTAACGCTGGAAAATTTTTTGGAATAGTTCCTTAAAATCACAAAATACAAAAAAACTCAAAATTTCAAAACATAGTTTACAGTTATGTTTAACTTTAATAGATATAAA